TCCGTAGTAGTCGTAGTAGTCGTAGTAAGTCCGTAGTAGTAGTAGTAGTAGTAGTGGTGGACGTACTACTAGGAGTAGTAGTAGTAGTAGAAGTAGTAGTAGTAGTAGTAGTAGTAGTAGTAGTAGGAGTAGGAGTAGTAAGTAGTACTAGTAGTAGTAGTAGTAGTAGTAGTAGTAGTAGTAGTAGTAGTAGTAGTAGTAGTAGTAGTAGTAGTAGTAGTAGTAGTAGTAGTAGTAGAAGTAGTAGTAGTAGTAGTAGTAGTAGTAGTAGTAGTAGTAGTAGTAGTAGTAGTAGTAGTAGTAGTAGTAGTAGTAGTAGTAGTAGTAGTAGTAGTAGTAGTTGTGCAGGGGGCCCTCGGCCGCTGCCGCCTGGCCTGCGGCCTCCGCCGCCACGGCCCGGCCTCGCGCCACGGGGGGCGCCTTGGCCCGGGCCCCGGACAGGCGGACGCGGGCCCGAGCGGGCGCGCCTGCAGCCAGGGGCTGGCGCCCGCCTCTCCCCCCCCTCCCTGCCCTCCCTCGCCTCCCTCGCCTCCCCCGTGGGGCACCTTCGGGGGGCCTCGCCCGCCCCACAAGCTGTGGGGTTCTCCGACGCCTGGCGCGGATTCGGCGCACACATTTGGCGCGCCCGGCATGGATTCGGTGCGGGTAGTGGCGCGGATGGCGGCGCGGCGGGGAAACAGACACGGCAGCCCTGAAGATGCAGCATGAGCCCCATCCGCCCTCGCTGCCCTGCCTGTCTGCGACCGCCGTCGGACCCTGCCCCCTGCGGGTCCAATCGGCGCCCGGGTATCGGTCCAATCGTGGCCCACCTGGCTGCAGGCATCTTTCAAGGTTTGAGCCCTGGCCTGTTGCCACGCTCTCCCCCCCTCCTTCCCCTCTTAGCGGCCGCTCGCAGGTGCACCGGAAGACAAGCCCGGAGTTCGACAAGCCGTTCGCCGGGCCTGTGCTCGCCGCGCTGGACTGGGCGCTCGGGCGCGAGCTGGAGGCCTCCTCCACTTCCTTCTTCTCCTCCTCCTCCTCCTCCTCATCCTGCTCCTGCTCCCTCCTTCTCCTCTTCGTCCTCCTCCTCCTCCTGCCTCTCCTCCTCCTCCTCATCCTCCTCCCCGTCTCCAGTCGAGGGAAGAAGCACAATGACCAACCATGACCAAGATGTCGCGGGATATTGCCGACGCCGATCTTGGTCATGGTCCACGCCAGCTGGCGAGGACTATCAACAAATTGATGATCAAGGTGGATGGTGACCAAGACCGACACCGACGTTTGCGCGTTCAGTCTTGGTCATGGTCACCGTGCCATTTCCTTCGAGAGAGGGAGGTTTTTCGCGAGCGGTACCCTCGGAGGAGATTCAGAGGAGGAAACGGTACTCATACCGCTACCTTCCCATGTTTTTTGAGGCTCTCGTCGCCACGGCTGGATTCGCCTCGATGTTCAAGTCAGGGCACACTCCAGGAGAGGTCTAGGGAGTAGCGATTTGGGCATACCTTTCGTTCTCGAGAGATGCAGGAGGACTTCTCGCGAGCGGCGGCCTCGGAGGAGACGTGGAGGGCCCAAGGCTGCCCGGGGATGGCTTGGGCCCCTCCCTGGGGGCCTTGGGGGGCCTCTCGGAGAGGCCTTCGAGGCCTCTCTGGGCCGCCGTGGACACGCCGAAGGCAGAAGCGCAGACTGCCGGCGGCGTGTTTTTTTTCGGTGCGGGCCCCGGTGGCATCCAAAACTGCCCAGGAGGCCTCCCAGGGCCCCCCAGGACGGCCCCTTGGGACCTTTTTCTGCGACCATCTCAGGCCATGTCGGGCGCGGGCTCCCGACCACACGCCTGAGGACTTTCCAGTCAGTGCCAGCAGCAGGGTGGCTGATGCGCTCATGCGTAGGTGCACTTGCGTGCTGAGTATGCACGACTCACCCTGATCCGAGACCGGAATCGCGCCTTCCACAGTGAACGCATTGGTGTTTTATCTTGAGAGCACATCATGTCGGGACGCCGAAGAGACAGCCACACGAGGTGGCGGCTAATGGGGCGTCGACCATGGCCGCGACTGGTTACATTTGGAATTCTAGAGGTCCTTGAGTTTGGGGGCTCGTCTTTGGGTAGGTGCCTGCAGAGGTGCCCCAGCCAGGTGATCTGCCCTGACGAGCTCTGCCGCTGTGATGGCGCCGCCCGCCATGGTGATCTACTGATGCTTACGCTCTAGGCTCCGCTCCGAGGTATTGCTTCAACGTGCTTTAGGGAAGCTAGTACTCTACGGTTACCGCCCAATCTCGAGTATTCGGACTGTATCTCCAAGTCGCTGAAAGTGAGTCGTACGGCGAAGCCGACGAGAGTGTAAGAACCGTCGGCGCCGATGCGTCGTAGTCAGCGAATGTATCCAGCATGGTTGTCGTCTGGCTAATGATTGCGGGGGTGTGCCGACCGGGATAGTGTTGCCGCAACGAAGCGTGCGAGCAGCTTCCTTGCGATATGATTTCTTCACCGATGCATGAGTGGTCGGTCTTGGAATCCGGATGTTGTCTTCTGGATTGCCCGCTGGGTCCCATGGCAATTGAATCGAGCACCGTGATGAGGATGTCCATCGTATTTTGTGAAGGCATTGGGTAAGCGATGTCGCCCTCAGGGCTGGACACTACACTAGCAGCGCGTCTTCCATTGTTTCCGGGCTTGATGGCTGGCCCGCGCTACAGCATACCACATTTTGGCCACGAGACCCCTGAGTAGTTACTCGTCCGACGGCTCCTGTGATACCTACTGTTTGCCGCCCTTGGGTCGCTGCGGGGTGGAGATGGCCAGAGGCCAAACACTGCAACGTCATGACCAGCGAGGGGGCTGGCTACCATTACCAGCCTACCTCCTACTCCCTATTCATTCTCTTCCTTCTTACCCTTCGCCCCCTTTCGTATAACTTTTGGCTACGACGTTCAAGCCGCCGCCCCAGCGCTCGATTAAGCATCCCCCTCGTCCCACCCGCACCAGCCATGGCGTCGACTCAGATGTGGACTAGCAAGTTGGGGAAAGAGTACGCCAAACACGTGATCGAGAGCCTCGACCAGGAGCACCACCAGGTGCTGAAGGCCCTGCGGAAGCTGGATAAAAACTCGCGGTGTGCAGAGTGCGCCGCCGCAGACACATGCTGGGCGAGCGTCAGCCTGGGCGTGTTCCTCTGCGTGCGATGCTCCGACGTGCACCGGGCAGTGGGCACCCACATCTCCAAGGTGAAGGGCTGCAGCGGCACCTACCTCTGGGGCCCCGACGAGATCGCGCGCATGCGGGAGACGGGCAACGCACGCGCGGAGGAGCTGTACGGGCACCGCCACAGGCCCCTGCCCGAGTCCGCCTCCAAGGAGGAGCGCGTCAAGGCCTGCGAGTTCAAGTACGGCCAGGGGCCGGCTGCCGCGGCGCCCGCGGCGGCCCCAGCGCCGCCGCACCCGGCACCGTGTGCGGCCGGACACTCCGCGGCGGCGGGCGGGGCCGCGGCCGCCGACGGCCCGCGGGCGCTGCGCCCCGCCCCGTGCGCAGCCGAGGGCCCCTCCGCGCCCGCGGCGGCCCGCGCTGGGCGGGCCCGCGGCGCCGCCGCCCCGCCGCGCCGCCGGCCCGCCTCGCGCGCGCGCCGCGGCCCTCGAGGCGCCCGGCGTGGACGAGCTCTTCCGGAGCATCGAGGCCCTCGGGGCGGAGGCGGCCGGCGGCGGGGCGGCCGCCCGCCGGGCGCCCTCGCCGGGGCGGCCCGCGGCCCCGCCTGCCGCCGTCGCCGCGGCGGGCCTGGACGCGTTCCTGGACCGGTGCCTCCTGCAGGACGGCAAGCCGGCGCCCGAGCCCGCGCGCGTCGCGCCGGCGAGGGCCGGCGGCCTGGCGGCCGAGGAGGACTTCTTCAGCATCTGGCTGTGAGCAGGAGCGCGCTCTCGCGAGGCGCGGGGTGTCGCTGGCCGCCAGCGGCTGCCGCGCCGGAGGCCAGGCCGCGCCGGCCCGGGGGCCTCTTGAGGAGGGTCTCCAAGGCGAGGCGTGGGCTCTGTGCAGGGCCGGGGGCAGAGTGGTGGGGGGCCGTGCAGGCTGGAGGGCGCCAGGGATGCACCCACAGCTGGCCTTCAGTCGGGCCTGTCCCCCTACCGGGGGATATTCGACGAAAATAAAAGATACCCCCAAAATAGTCAAAAAATAATCCAAAAATAGTCTGGGGACTATTTTTTGACTATTTTTTGGCCTTTTTGGAGTATTTTTTTATAATTTTGTTTTTTTGGTGATTTTTTCGTCGGAAATCCCCCTGTAGGGGGACACGTCCGACATAAAGCTGGCCCTGGCCAGTGCGTGCAAGACTCATATCATGTCGACTTCCACGGCGTCTTGGGTCTGCATGTGGAGGGGTGACAGACGTTCTTGGGAATGGAGTCTGGCAGCCCGAGACGCGGTGGACACCAATATACGCCCTGCCCCCCGCCAAGCCGATCCTGGGCCCAGGATCGGCGGTTACAGTCAAAAGCCCTGATAAGGACGCGCGACTTTGCTCAGGGTACCCTTGCGTCCTTGCTCTTCCTTGCTCTTGCGTCCTTGGGATTTTCGTCGTCCGCCGCCCCAGAAATTCCAACTTCGGCTTCCAAGGGTCTTGCGTCCTTACCGCGCGTCCTTATTAGGGTTTTTGACTGTAGGTCGGCCCTCCTGGCCAGGCCAGGTGGGGGTACACAGCACCCATCCTGGGGCCAGGGTGGTCCTGGCCGTGAGCGGTGCGGGCGTGCCTCTGGCGCCCTCTCGGGAGAGAGAGCGGGTCGGCTCGCATCAGGGGGGGCGGGGCGACGTTGGCGGAAGGCCACCCTTTCCCTCTCCCAGAAGGCCCTTTTGGGAGCCTGACCCCCCTCCCTCCGCAGGCCAGACTAATCCCCCAACCAGCTGGGACCAATATTTATGTCGGGCATGTCCCCCTACAGGGGGATTTTCGACGAAAGATTAAAAATACCCTCAGAGTGCCCCAAAAAGATCAACAAATACCCCAAAAATTGTCCCCAGACTATTTTGCATTATTTGTTAAAATTATTTTCGGGGCATTTTTTAATTTTTCGTCGAAAATTTCCCCGTAGGGGGACAGGCCCGACTTAAGACCAATCCCAACCAGCTGGTACTTCCTTCTAGCCAGCACGACACGCCAAGCTGATACGAATTCCAGCCGGCCAAGTGGCCTCACTGCATGATTGTAAGTGTGAGGCGATCTTCCTACATCCCCTACCCAACTATTCTGCCTATGTGTGTACTTTTGTTCTAGAAGCTAACATAATTGCCCGGTTTGGAGCTTGTGCCAACACGGTTTGCGATGATGTGGAATACGACATGTAGACGTTGATGATGGTGTTGCTGAACAGATACTAAATCTTTGTTAAAATCATGTAATCCGGGCCAACCCGGACAAGGGTTGGCCTGCGATCTTGTTTTAAGGGTTTAAGTGTTTAAATGATTCAGGGCTTCAGGGTTTTTCAGGCCTTGACGGTCCAAGGGCGAAAGGGTTTAAGGGTTTAGAGTTTAAGTGTGTCAGGGGTTAAGGGCTCAAGGATTTAGGGGTTTCAGGGTTTATGAGTTTATGTACTTCAGGGGGGAAGGATTTAACGGTTTCAGGGCTTAAGGTCTTAAGGTTTTCAGGGTTTTCCAGGCATTTTACTTCAAAGGATTACAGACTTACGGGTTAAGGGTTTAAAGGCGCAAGGGTCAGGGCGCCAACATCGCAGAGCGGATTTCGTTCGGAAAACTGGGATGGGCCCGGATTGTCTTAGAGAATCTGGTTCTATATTTCGGAATGATTTTCGTGCGGATTTATTTTGGCTTGGAATGAAGACTACACACACATCACGTGACATTCACTTCGTTTTTCGCTCGCCGTTTCGGGGTTCTGCAGAAGTCGACGCAACAATCCGCTGCAGCACGTCTGCAAGGTCGGGGCAGTGATAAGGGTTCAAGGGTTTGTGGGTTCAAGGGTGTTAGGGCTCCAGGGCTTCAGGGTGTGAGGATCTAGTGGTTCGCGTGCTCAAGGTCGTAAGGGGGTTGAAGGGTTTGATGGTTAAAGGCTTTGAGGGTTTAGGGCTTAAGGGTTTGAGGGTTTAGGTCAAGGTCCTCGACGACCACCCTCGGCTGTGGGAGCCACGGGTTTCCAGCACCGAGGACCAGGAGACGGAGCTCGAGGGACGCCCGGGCTGGGCCGCAGCCCTGCCCGGGCTTGAGCCCGAGCTCCCAGGAGACGCCAGCAAAGACAACGGACGGACGTGTTGAATCACGCTTCTCGGAGACGCTTGTGCGACGCCTTTCGGAGACGCCCGTCAGACGCCTCGCAGGGACGCCTCTGGAAGACGTTCGCAAGACGCCCGTAAGAGGCCGGCAAGACGCCTGTAAGACGCCGATAAGACGTACGTAAGACGCCCGTGCAGCTTCTCGTGTAGCTTGGTTGGGTTGCATGCTGAAGTGGCAGGATTTGTACCAAAGTGGTTGGAAATAGTATTGAAGTGGTTGGAATTTGTTTCAATTGTTTGTGCTTTTTCCCATTTTCCCTCCTGCCTTCCTCCTCGGCCGCCCCACAGCCTCCCCCTCCCCCCTCCCCTGCCAGCCGACCGAGAGCGGATCGAGGAATCGAGGAGCATCGAGGCGTACCCAGGGGCATCGAGGAGCGTCGAGGAGCCTCGACGACCGAGGAGGATACATCCAGGATCGAGGGGGATGGCGGGGCTCGAGCGGGGCCGGGACGCCGCGGCCGGCCGGTCGGGCTCTCCTCCCTGCGCGGGCGGTGTACAGGGCGCCCGCGGGGGAGGGGGAATCGAAGGTTACCAGCTTGGAACATCCCTATCCCTGTGATGGGCATCATCTGACGCAGACCCCATCGACTCACAAAAGCATCACGACAGAACGTTCTTCGCTATTTCTGGCCTCTGGAGGCCCTTACCACGCCTTCGGCCAGGATGAAAAGCCAGTCCGGGGCAATGGGTCGAGACCTCTGGGGGTCGACACTATGGAACAATCATTACGTCGGGGCTCCCGGGATCTTCCTCCACAAATGTATATATGCACAGACGCCTTCCAATGTATTGTTCTTGTGCCTCAGAGGAGGAAGGCGAAGTATAAATCACCAGTGAGAGCCAGTGGCTTTATACACACCGCCACCCCCCTGAAGTTACATGCAGAATTCATCGGAGGGTGCCTGTTTACATATTTTGGTGAGGGAGATCTCGACGCCGACCTCGAGGATCCCCTCGGCTTCTGAGGGCGCATCTAGGGGAACGAAGAACGACAAAAACATGGAAAACTCGGAGGTCCGCGCGGATTTTTCGGATCGGCTCTGGACCCCCCTCCGTGGCGCGCGGAGCGCGCCAGGGGCGGCGCCCGAGGCGCCGCGGAGGTGGGCCGAGCGCGGATCCCAGAAATCTTCGCGGACCTCCGAGCTTTTCATGTCTGTGCCGCTCTTCGCTCCCCCGGGTGTCGGTCGCCGCCCATCCTTTGGGGCAGGGATCGGATCGAGGCTGGTCAGCCCGGGGCGCTGCGCCCCCGATGTCGGGCGCTGAACTGGCGCGGGGCCGCGCGTGGGGGGGGGGGCCTTTGCAGCCCCGCGGCGCCCGTCGCGGGGAGGGCTCTCGCCCTCGGCGGCCCTGCGCCGCGCCATCGTTTTTTTTTGCTCGTGTGCTCAGCGAGGGGGGGCGGTTCCCCCTTCCCTCCTCCTCCTCCGCCTCCGCCTCCGCCTCCTGCTCCGCCTCCTCCTCCTCCGCCTCCTCCTCCTCCGTCTCCTCCTCCTCCTCCGCCTCCTCCTCCTCCTCCGCCTCCTCCTCCTCCGCCTCCTCCTCCTCCGCCTCCTCCTCCGCCTCCTCCTCCTCCTCCCTCCTCCTCCTCCTCCGCCTCCTCCTCCTCCGCCTCCTCCTCCTCCTCCGCCTCCTCCTCCGCCTCCTCCTCCTCTAACCGGCTCCCCTTCACCGGGGTCCTGTCTATACCCGAGTGAGCTCGGCAGCACGACGGCTGAGACCTATGACGTCTCGAGAAGCTCGAGACGGAGGTTCTCGCAGTGTTCGGCCTCTGGGGGCCCTCGCAGGGCCCCGGCACCGTCAAGACAGGAGTCGGGATGAAGAGCCGGTCTTGGGGCAAGGGCCCAGGACCTGGGGGGAGGACCCCGCATGGAGAAACTCGAAGCGCCCGATCTCCGAGGTGCCTCCTTCCTCGCCGGGGCTCTCCCCTCCAAGAGCGGCTCCCCCGGTCTCCTCCTCCTGCTCCTGCCCCGCTCCCCTCTGGGCCTCCCAGACGGGGTCCGAGCAGATGGGGTCGAAGGTTAACCCCATGAAGGACTCAAAGACTCCGCCCCGCCCCCGTCTGGCGAAACGATAACGCACCCGGCACCCTGAAGCGTTACCCTGGCACCCTGGCACTTGGCCGTTGCTTGGCACTCCTCGGGAGCCCCCAGCAACCCTCGAAAGTGGCGACGGATTCGCAGTTCGCAGCCCCTCAGGATGGCGAGGTCTGGGGTTGATCTACGCAGCACCGCACTGAGCTGGGCCCGCCAGCACTACCGCTACCAACTACTGGTATTACTACAGATACTTCTGCTACTACTAGTACTTTTGAGGCTGCTCTTATGATTCATATTATGCTACTTCTACTGCTACAGCGACTACTACAGCTACAACAACAACTACTACTGCTACTACTACTACTACTACTACTACTACTACTACTACTACTACTACTACTACTACTACTACTACTACTACTACTACTACTACCAGTCTTGATACTACCACTACTACTACTACTGCGGCTCCTACCGCTACTATCACTACTACTATCATTATTACTGTTGCTATTACTACTACGACTACCCGCATTGATAGTATCACTACTACTACTTCAACTACTACTTTTTAGTAGTACTAGTTCCCGTATTCGTACTAGTACGAACACTAGTACTAGTGCCAATACTAGGAGTATCAGTCGTAATAGTAGTAGTAGTAGTAATAGTAGTAGTAGTAGTAGTAGTAGTAGTGGTAGTGGTAGTAGTAGTAGTCGTAGTCGTAGTAGTAGTAGTAGTAGTAGTAGTAGTAGTAGTAGTAGTAGTAGTAGTAGTAGTAGTAATAGTAGTAGTACTACTACTACGACTACGACGACTAGTATATCTATAACTACTACTACTAATCTTTATATTTGAGTTTTAAGTCGTTTAACTGCTACTACTACTAGTACTGCTACTGCTACTCGTACTGGTATTACATCTACTACTACCACCTACTACTCCTACTGCGACGGCGACTACTACGACTACGACTACTACTACTACTACTACTACTGCTGCTACTACTACTACTACTACTACTACTACGACTGTTTCTGTTACAATCATCATTGCTCGTACTACTGCTACCATTGCTACTACTGGTACAAGTGCTACGAGTGCTACTACCAGTGCTATTACGACTCAACGATACTACTACTACTACGACGACGACTACTACTACTACAACGAGTGCTGTTGTTACCACTACTACTACTGCTACGTACGTACGTACTACTACTACCACTACTACTACGACGACGATTACTGGTACTACTACTAGGACCACTACTATGACGACGCTTACTGCTACTACTACTACTACTACTACTACCACTACTTCGACGACAACAACAACTACTACTACTATTACTACTACTACTACTACTACTACTACTGCTACTGCTACTAGTACTACCAGTAGTACTACTACTACGACGTCTATTACTCTTACTGCTGCTCTTACTACTACCACAACCGCTGCTACTACTGCCGCTACTACTACTACTACTGCTACTACTACTACTTGTCTGTCACTAATACTCGTACTGCTACATCTACGACTGCGTCCACTGCTACTACTACTACTACTACTACTACCACTAGCACCGCTACTACTACTACTACTACTACTATTACTACTACTATCATGACGGCCACTACTAGTACTACGGCGACGACTACTACTACCTCTACTACTACTGCAACTATTACTGCTACTAGTCGTACTTCCACCAATACTACTACTCCTACTACTACAACAACAACTACTACTACTACTACTGATATCACTACTACTACTTCTACTACTAGTATTTGTACCACTACTACTACTACCACTAGTAGTAGTAGTAGTAGTAGTAGTAGTAGTAGTAGTAGTAGTAGTAGTAGTAGTGGTAGTAGTAGTCGTAGTAGTCGTAGTAGTCGTAGTAGTAGTAGTCTAGTAGTAGTAAGTAGTAGTAGTAGTATAGTAGTATAGTAGTATAGTAGTAGTAGTAGTAGTAGTAGTAGTCGAGTAGTAAGTAGTAGTAGTAGTAGTTAGTAGGAGTAGGAGTAGGAGTAGTAGGTAGTAGTAGTAGTAGTAGTAGTAGTAGTAGTAGTAGTAGTATTAGTAGTAGTAGTAGTAGTAGTAGTCGTAGTAGTAGTAGTACTACTACTACTACTACTATTCATACTACTACTACTACTAGTGCTTTTACTACTACCGCTGCTACTACTTCTTACTACTATTACGACTACTATCACGGCTACCCGTATGGCTATTTTTACGACTATTTCGATTACTGCTATTTCTAGTACTCCCCTAGTACTACTAATACTATTACTACTACTACTACTACTACTTCTACTACTACTACTACTGCTACTACCACTACTACTCCTACTACTACTACTACTACTGCTGCTACTACGACTACTTCTATTACTTTTTATTATTCTTCTTCTTCTACTTCTACTTCCACTACTACTACTACTACTACTACTACTACTACTACTACTACTACTACTACTACTACTACTACTACTACTACGACGACTACTACTACTACTATTACTACTGGTACTACTGTTTCAACTACTACTACTGCTGCTGCTGCTGCTACTACTACTACTACTACTGTTACTACTACTACTAATACTAATACTACTTAGTGCTTCTACCACTCAAGCGCGGACGAATACTAATTATTTTCGGCGTTTCTCCGTGCTAAGGTAGCGTTCCGTGTTGGGCGGGGGTGATGCCCTGGGGTAGACCCCCCCCTAGAACGGCTGGCGAGCATCAATTTTTCATTCGGGATTGCAGTAGGAGGGGCGGTGAGGAGGAGACAGAAAACGAGGAGGAGGAGGAAGAGGAAGGAGACACGACCCCATAACTTGCGAAAGGAAGGAACAAGGAGGAGTACTTGCGGTGGAAGGGGAGATCCTATTTTTCATGTGTTGCGGCTTGGTGCGGTGCTACAGATGTCGCTCCGCTAAAGCCGCCCCCACGAATTATTTATTTTCGTTTCGGTGCTAACGATTATCCAAGGAGGGTTCTGAATGGCTTCCTGACGTTATGATGTCCAACCGACTTTAGCCTTGGTCACCGGAAAGAATTTCGAACGCCAGGAAAGTGCCGAATCTTGCGGGTTTTCACGTGGCGGGCCCTGGGAGGCGATACTCTTTCGACTTTTCGCAAGCTTGTCGGGTAGACACTGTCTGGGTGCTCCGAGCACCAGACAGTGTCTACCAGAAATAATTTCGAGCACCGTACTCGAACTCATTTCTGGGACGTGGTCTTTAAGTACGGTGGGCCAACCTAAGTCGTAGGATCGCTCCGCATGGCATCTTTTCCACGCTGACGTCGCCGATGCACCGCCGACGTCGCAGGTGCATCGCCGATGTATCGGCGGTGCGGTGCGATCCTCCGACCCCATGTGCCCGGAGCCCTCCTCCCGCTCCGCCCCTGCTCCCTGCCTGCTTCAGCTCGTGCTCCCCGGGCCTGTGTCGTGTCCCCCCCACCCCCTGCCCCGCTCCTCCTCCCTCCCGCTCGCCCCCCGCGCCTTCCGCTCCCTCCTGCCTCGTCCCGCCCCTGGTGCTGTCGCTGCTCCTCCGCTGCCCCTTCGCGGGGCCCCTCTCCTCCCGAGCGCCTCCCACCCCCCCCGCCCGGCCGTCGACGATTTCCAGCACTCTCCAGGGCGCCAGGGCGCTGTCTCAGAGCCACCCGCAGCCCTCCCTCGTCCTCCCTGCTCCCCCGGCCCTCCCAGAGGCCTCCAGAGGTCCAGGGTGGCCTGGCCAGTCGCCCCGCGAGGCACCGGAGACGTCGCAGAGGGTGGCGCCAGCGTCCAGGAGCTGCGGCCCCTCGGCCCTCTCGATCGAGGTGTGGGGCGCCCCTCCGCGGGAGGCGTCTGCACGCGGCCAGCACCGTGTCTGGCCAGGGCCATCCTGGGCCCCTGGACGGCACACCTGGACCCTCTCGGCGCCTTGGCCAGGAGGGCGCAGCTGCGCACGCCATGCGCCAGGGCAGCCCCCCCCCCCAGCCCAGCCCCCCCGGGTGGCCCTGGCCAGGCCTGGTGGTGCTGTGTGCCGCCTGCTGCGCACTCCGATCTGCGCGGCAGGTTCCGGGGCCGGTGGGGGGGGGGCGCCAGCCCCGCCGACGAGCCCGGACAGCGGCCGCCCCGTGGCGGCCGACACCCGCGCGCAGAAGGGGGCTCCAACCCCCTTGGCGCGGTGCGCCGACGCGGCGGGGCTGACCCCCGCGGCCCTCCTGCTGCTGCTCCTCAGCATCGCTCGGACGTGTGCATTTTCCCTCTGCGAGGGCCATCGATGATAATCCAAGGACCTCTGGCAGAACAGTGCACGCACCAAGCCGAAGCATGCACGGGGAATGGACGTCCAAGCGATGGCACGCCTGCTGCTCTGGTGAACTGGTGAGCCACAGTCGTGCGATAAAGCAGGCAAGAACTGGAAAGCACGCCATCCCGAGTGGCTGCTGAGGCATGCGCACAGGGCAGAAGACTGCTCGCATTGTCCGTCGCGTACCTCTGCACCCTGACCCTCGTCTCGTTCGGCCGTCGAGCTGCCCTTCGATCCCCATCCCATATCGCGGTCCTCCCGCTGCTCCCGCTTCTCGCCCCCTCGCTCTGAGAGCCCCGTGGGCGCCCGCGGAAGGGTGCCCCTGCGGCCGATGGGGGTCCCCGCTCCGGCGCCTCAGACGCAGGGCCCGGGGGGGGACTCCACGCCGCGTGTACAGACCAGCGGCGACAAAAGGAGCCTCATCGCCGCCGCCGCCGCCGTCGCCATCGCCGTCGCCGTCTCCTCCTCCTCCTCCTCCTCCTCCTCCTCCTCCTCCTCCCCCTCCTCCTCCTTCGAGCTTCGAGCTTCGAGCTTCGAGCATCGAGCTTCGAGCTTCGAGCTGCGGGCGCTGTTGTCATGGCTGACTGAACTGCGGGCGCTGTTGTCACGGCTGATTGCTCTCCTCCTCCTCCTCCTCCTCCTTGTCCTGTCCTCCTCTTCCTCTGCCACGTCGGGGATACCATCGAGCTCAGGCGCGTTCTTCCTCCTCCTCCTCCTCCTCCTCCTTGTCCTCCCCCTCCTCCTCCCCCTCCTCCCCTCCCCCTCCTCCCCCTCCCCCTCCCTCCTCCGCCTCGTCCTTCTCGGCCGCCCCCCGAGACCCGAGCCCTCAGGCGGCGAGCTTCGAGTCCCTGCCGGCCGCCCTCGCGGCGGCGGACGTCGACGGCTCCCCGCGGGGTTGGGGGCGGCGTGGGCCGCGCGGCGAGGGCGGCGAGCCTCGAGGAAGGGTGAGAGGCTTTGGTCACCAGCCTCAAACCTATACCTATCCCTAAGATTGACACGCCAAATGGAGATGTCAATCTTAGGGATACACCCTCAGAAACTGAGGAAATCCCTAAGATCGCCATCGTGATGAGGCGATGCCCAACATAGGGATAGGGATATGTTCCAGGCTGGTACTTTTGGGGCGTCCAGGAGGGTGGCGATGACTGGGGCCAGGTCGGGCATGTCCTCCTACAGGGGGGATCTTGGACGAAGACCAGAAAGTAGACAAACGTACCCCCAAGCAGTTACTAATAATCACAACGCTCGTTCCCGGGCTACACGCCCGACTTAAGACTAGGGGGGGATACAGTGGAGACCCATGCCAAGAAGCACCCTGCTCGACTCCAGGGTGCCCTGGATTTCTTGTTTTACGATGGTCTTGCGATGGGGAGCGCGACGCTGCCACAACAAATCCACGGACGTCCTGGGGCCTCCAAGGTTGGGTTCCTTGTGGACGGTCTCTTGTGGTCGGGCCTCCGCTGTATCATGGCCGGGACCATGATGTTATCGCCATGGGGGAAGCGGGTCCTCCTCCTCCTCCTCCTCCTCCTCCTCCTCCTCCTCCTCCTCCTCCTCCCCCTCCTCCTCCTCCGCCTCCTCCTCCTCCTCCTCCTCCTCCCCCTCCTCCTGCTCCTCCTGCTTCTCATCCTCTGAGGTAATCGGGTCCTGTGCTTTTTTTCCGCCGTCGTCGGGCTCCCTCGGGGCCCTCCACGGGCTCCGGGTGGATCGGAAGGCGACCCAGGAGGAAGAGCTCGTCCAGGGCGAAGGCCCCAGGTCGCCACCCACCAAACCACCCCAACCCAACCCGAAGGCCTCGATTTGCCCTCCATTTCCAGTTGGGGGGGTCGGGGAACATCGAGAAAACACATATGGAACCCGTACCCCCCCCAACCCGAAATTCGGGTCTTCGGGTTGGGTTGGGGTGGTCTGGTAGGTAGTCACCAGGGTCCAGGACCCCCTTTGCTCAGGGGGGGAAAAACACACACACACAGACGCAATTCATCGCCGATTTCCCAGAAAATATGGGAAAGTATGGGAAGTGTGGGGGAAGACATAATCTCAGAAGATATAGGAACATATGGAGAATCTTTGATTTGTGTGTATTTATTTGTGTGTTCCGGGGCCCCTTCATTTGCCTCAGGACCCGTTTCCCCATGCTCAGATACCCTCTCCGATTTCATGGACCCTCTGATTACAGTGCGTTCCCTGGACCCCCCCCCCTGGCCCGCGCACGTGCCTCGGGCCCCGATTTGCGACCTTTTCCTCTTGGTCGCCCCCCTCTTGGAGCTCCCTGAAAGTTGCTCGTCCTCCTCCACGTTCTCCTTCTCCTCCCTTTTCTTCCTCCTAGTCGTCGTCGTCCTCCTCCTCCTCCCTCTTATTCCTCCTCCTCTTCCTCCTCCTCCTCCCACGCAAAAGCGCTCGCTCCCGTCGGTCAGCTTGTCGCACTTCCAAAGCTTGTCCCACAGCACCATTACCCGGGGTGGGGCCGGGTACAGCCAGGGCCACGGGTCAGGGGAGCCGCTTAGTGATATAGGGCCCCGAAGCCCAAACAGAATGCCAGAATCGCTGTGCCAGGTCAGCCGTAGCCGGTGCTTCCCTCGGGTGACGGCAGTTCCGTTGGTGGAATGGGTGAGTGCCGGCCGGTCTCCAGATCTTGCAGCGTGGGCAGACGGCCGATTTTGACATCGTCGTTTTGGGTACTTCTGGGCGTATCCAGCATTTGTTTGTTTGTTTGTGGGTTTGTTCGCTTTCTGTTTGTTGTTGTTCGTTCGTGCGTCAAGCGCCTCTGGAAGGCATCTGCCGAGCCCCAGGATCGGCACGAGCGAAATGGGTGCCGAAAGAATGGGTACAATGCCCACCAGCAGTTCCTGTTCATTTTGAACAGGATTCGCTGTCCGCGCCGCCGCGGCCTGTGCGAATTCGAGACAGAAGGCCGCCTGCCCAACAGCGGCCGCTGTTGGTTTGGGACAATATTTGTTGTTGGGCATTGTACCCATTATTTCCGTACCCAGTTCGGGCGTCCAGATAGGACCGTCAGGAAAAGGGCTCGGGATATATAGAGCTGGTCCGCCGGGAGGCGTGGAAACCTTCCGGGGTCCGCGTTGGGGACAAGTTAGGGGCACACGCAGGGCTATAAACGTACAGTGCCGTTTTTTAATACATGCTCCGCGTGCGGATCATGTATTAAACATGCAGGGATTTAAAAAAACGACGATGAGTTCATGCATAAATTCGCTCATGAAAAAACCTGTTATGTAAAGAAATACCATGTATTAAACAACTGCCCTGTAGACTCTCGGAGATCCGCGCAGATTCCTCGCCTCGGCGCTGGACCCCCCGACGCCGGCGCCGCCCCTGGCGCGCTCAGCGCGCCCAGGCGCGGGGCCCAGCGCCGAGGGCCGAGCACGGAGATCCGCACGGACCTCCGGAAGCTCACGGGGGGGGCGTTCGTGAAGGAATGTTCACCGCCCACCAAACCACCCCAACCCAACCCGAAGGCCTCGATTTGCCCTCCATTTCCAGTTGGGGGGGGGTCGGGGAACACTGAAAAAACACATGTGGAACGCGTACCCCCCCCAACCCGAAATTGGGGTCTTCGGGTTGGGGGGTTAGGGTGGATTGGTAGGTAGTCAAATGTGCCCGGGGGCCTCAGGCCCTGCACGGCTCCTTGTCTGATGAGGGCGGCGGTGATATCCATGGCCGCTCCACGACTGGAGTCCCGCCGGCCCGCAGACCCTGGATTCCTTATCCAATGGTTCCTTACCCCGCCCCTGGCCCCGTGCGCGCCGCCGTTTGCGGCGCGTGTGACTTCTATGCGTGGCACGCGCGCCTTGTGCGCGCTCGGAGAGTTAAAGAACTGCCGTCACCGTTCGTTGGCGGCGGCCTTGGCGAGGTTCGTTGGCGGTTCGTTGGCGGCGGCCTCGGCGAGGTCGGCGTCCTGGCCGATCTCGAGGGCGTCGGCGTGCAGGCGAACGGAGGTGTGCGTCTCGAGAGCGGCAGCGGGGAGGCGGCCCAGAGGGCGAGGGCCTGCCCCGTCGGCAGCCTGCGGCGGCTTCAGGGGCAGGTGGTGGCGGGGCCCCGTTCGCTAACCCTGGGTCGCGATCTCAGGAGACCTGCATGGCAGTGCGGCGATCTCTCAGCACCAGCTGTCGTTCCACCGACGACACGGGAGGAGGTGCTAGGGAGGCGGCGGCTGAGAGAGCAGCGGGGCCCGGGCTCCGAGTGGAGCGTCCGGAACCAAGGGTCGGTGGCGGGGCCGCCGTGAGGCCAAAAGAGCTTTCCGAGGAGGAAGGCGGCGTCGTTGAGCATCGTACCTGGCGGTGCTGAGGTTCGCCCCCCGTAGCCCAGTCCCCTGCTTGCCGTGGGCAGTGCGTTGCACCGTAGAGGTGCCGCCAGCGCTGCCTGCCCCAGTTTTCGTGTGTGCGTGTGTACCTGGTGGTGCTATGGTGAAACCATCCGCGGAACCTGGTGGTGCTGAGGTTAACCATCCGTCTGGAGCTTGACCCCTAGCCCACGGGGCTGAGCTGGGGCCGAGGCTTCTGGCTCAGGCCCCCTGTGGGTCCCTCCGTGGCGCCGCGCGCGTGCGGCGTCATCCAGAATTCATTTGCGAGCAAGCCCCAGGGCCTTGGGTGAGAACAAGCATGCCGCCTCCGCACGTATATACAATTTTTGTTGTTCCTCCATCGTTTGGGTCAAGTCGCGCCGTCGGGGGCCGGGGGCGCGGCTGCGGAGCAGCGGCCACGACGGAGCCTCTGGCGCGGCTTTCGGGGCCAGGTTCCAGCGGCTGCAGTGAGCGCCTCGAGGGCCACAAAGTCGGAGGTCGGGGGCTCGGACGGCGGACGGCCGTGTCTGCGCTTCCGGGCGCGCCCCGGTTCGAGGAAGAACAACGGTCGCAGGCCCAGAGGTTACCGCCGACGCCAACATCGGCGGCGTGCCTCCACAGAGGGAAGATGATCCGATTCTCAAGGATGGTGGTACTCTTCGGGCCTCCGAGGTGGTCGCAAGATTTCCACCGGCACCGAAATCTATGATCAGCTTCCCCCGATGGAGGCGGACACGTGTGCTCGTGTTGGTGCCCACTTCCATGCCTCCGAAGAATTTTACGAGTGTAACTGTTGGAAGGTCCGCGCGATTTTTTTTGGATCGGCGTTGGGCCCCCCTGACGGCGCCTTCGGCGCCGCCGACGCGCTCCGCGCGCCAGGGCAGGGGGCCGGGGGCAAATCCAAGACATCCGCGCGGGCCGTCGAATGCTCACGTTTATTAAGTTTGTCCCCAACCATCCTGTGGTGTTGGGTCCTCGTTTTGAAGAGAGCGCCCCACGTCACCTCCTCACTCCTCCTCCCCCTCCTCCTCCTTCCCATCCGCCTCAGGCCGCATGCGTCAACGCCACCCAGGCCAGCGCTTCGTGACCCCATAGGGAGCTCCACCG